TAGTCACTAGCTACTCCGTAAACAAATAATGTGCAGCTCAGCCTTTGGATAACGGATATCATAGATTGCAATACGGATATTCGATACCTCATTTTCCAGACTGGTACCGAGTACTGATACCGGCATTGTGTCAAACCGCCGCAGTATGGCGGCAACTGCTTGCTTCTGTTGCTCTTGGAGCTGCAGAGCTGTTCCGAATATTTTAATACAAATTATATGAGAACTATATTACAAGCGGTGAGCAGCGCAGCAGGATCACCACAGTGATACGGCTATTGCTAAATTCATACCTCTATGAATGTGCCGCTTAAAACAAGAGTCCATTTGAAAGAAATGGCGTAGCCTCAAGGTTAGAATACAACCAAATTCCGCCCATCCATTGAATCGTCAAATGTATTTGAAAGTGTTTCACTTGAATTTGATGGCAGCTACTACGTTCTACCTGCCACTTGACTATACTTTGTTCACTTGGATAGCCGCGTTGCGCACTTGGACAAACGCTCATTTGTGAACAGTGTGAAAGAAGTCGCCTGCGAAGGAGCCTTTTAACCGCCCCGCCCTCCCAAACAACCCCGCCCTTGCTGACTTTTCTTCAAATGCACGTCATTACAGGTTCGACGTGTTTTTGCACTGAACACACTGCAGTACGGTGAAGTGAATAATGAATGAAATGCACTTGACTGCGTCGATAGACTCATGTACTGTAGTTTGTCAATGCCTTTCACTTTGAACGCAGAATACAGTATACACAAAAAGTACAAGCCAGTATTTATGTGCACACGTAGTAAGCCGCATCGGGCGACTTTGTAACTTATGGTTATCCTTGCCCCCCCCCCCCTCCCCCCCGCTTGCCTTGACGTTACCCATGAGTCCTTTTATGGTAACCACACCGTGTGTCATGGTCCTGAAGATTTATGACCATAATCAGAAAACGTGTGAGCCGTGATTGGCCGTCACCCGAGCAATTGTGATGTCATTTTCAGTCAACAGCAAGTGGCAAAATGGCCGCCACCGGTGATGGATAAAAGCTGGTGGATTTTGCTGCATATTTCATATTCCACAAACGCAATATCAATCACAATGCCGCGTTTGAACCAGTGGGGCCGCCTAGAACGAATTGTAAAGAAAATAGTTAACTTGACTTCCCCTTTAATGACAATTTGTATGCCGAGGCCAGACCTCCTCAGACCTTGACACGCTGTTGTACTCGTCATGTCGTACAGTATTAGCAAGTTTCCCCCAAATACGTTGCCTTACAGCTGCTCCGGTCATCCCAAGCCGCACTCCGGGCGACGACCGTTTTAACCTCGCCTCAGCTCCGAAGAAGCAAACACTTCCATTAGCCTGCCACAACTTAAGCATGAATATGAAGACGCAAGCTTGTAAAAAGAAAATGACGACGTCTCCTCTTGTTCTTCTGCATACTGGATGGTTCTCCTTGTTGTCAGTACTCATAGGCTCACTCGGAGCGGCTCCTTCCAAAACTGGACCACATGAAGAAAGTGTCACTTCTTTAGAAGCCGAATTATTATTATTATTTTTATGTTTTTTTTTTTGGGAATGGGCTCTTCTGAGGACCGTGTATCTCCGCTATGTTTAGTTGTGGGTAGAAGTGTACCAAGGTGTTAGGCTACTTGCCGTTGTCATAAGGGGTAGCATAACTCGATTTAGTGGCCTATCTTTCTACCAAATAGGAATTTTTTTTTTTAAGGTGTGTTTCCCTTTTGTAATTTTTTTTAATGGCGTACATATATAATTTTCCAGTGCTTTATTTCGCACTGCTTTTTTGAAAGGAAGGATCCTTGTTGATGAATTGAACCATGTGCTTTTTAATTGTATTCTATGTACTATAGTACATTTTCGAATTATGCATAATTATGTTCATTGTGGTGCAATTTGACGTGGGTTTGATCCAGAAGGCTGTCTTTGTTAGCTCGTTTATGAGTTCTGTACACGGGTGACATTGTAATGTACGTATCTCTCTGAAGCATGTTTTCAATTGTACAAATGATATATATTCACTTGTCATGTTATCTGTTTACTGCCGTCGCTTTCTGTGTGTTTTTCCTTTTACGAGGCTTTAAATTAAAAAGCTGTCCCGAAGCAGTTTGCCTAATTTCTTAAAAATACACTTGCAGCAAAGTATGATGAGGAATCAAACTATCACCGTCATAAAATATGAACTTGTTTTAAACATTTTGAAGTTAACCACTTGGGCAAATTTTAAAGTTGATTCTGAATGACAAAAGTGTATTATAAAGTATCCAATGGAATATGAAGTTACACAGTAAAATGTTTAAAAAAAAGTTGTAAAATGTTGTCTGATGTTCACCAAAGTCCAACCAAAGATGGCATTGAACATCATTTTTTATTCAGATACCGGTAGCTTTAATTTTCGGAGCGTGCTTGTTTGTTTTTATTTTTCAAAAATGCTTTTATTTGTTTTAGTATTAGTTTTAGTTTCTAAATACAGTCACCTCCAAAAGTATTGGAACAGCACGGTCAATTCCTTTTTTGTTATATCCTCAAGACGTTTGGGTTTCAGATCAAAACATGAATATTAATTAGTGCAGAATTCCAGATTTTACTTCATGGTAAATGGATTCATTGTAAACCTGATAAACTCATTTTTGATGGCATTTTGTTCAGGGTCATTGTCTTGTTGCATGATGAAGTTTCTCACAATTAGTTTATAATTAAAATTTTTTTTCACCTCTCGTTCCAATTTGTCTTCGTCAAAAGTACTAATCCTGTTGCTTTTTCCGATCCTGTTTGTTCGCCGATGTTTTTATGAAAGCGATTTACGTTCCAGTAATGTTTCAATATTCCGCACAGTGGCGCTGTTGGGCTGCACAAGAAAGCCACGGCTCCCTCAGCTGCATCATGAAGGCTGCTTCAACGTCAAGGTATTCTTTTCTTTCTCGTTCCAACTGTTCTGAAATGACTTCAGATGACACCAGAAGCACTCGTATCTATTTCCATGCCTGCAGCGCACGTCCTCTTTTGAGAGGCCAGACCAAATTAAAGTCGTCCCCGTGGTGTCATCGGTGGCCCACTTCCGCGGAAGTGCGTGCGTTCGCATGTCACGTCTGCCACCTCTGGAGATTAAGCTGCCAATCTAGGCTGCCCGTGGCACCATTTATTATATGGCTCGTGCCTCGTTCTTGTGGAGTACTATTAAGCCTCGTTTCGAGCAGTTACGACTCTGAAACGAGAAGCTAAACGTTAGTTTGACTTCTCAAAGCCTGTTTCCACCCCCCAATGAATTTATTAAAGGTAATTAATTCGCAGCAGCCCCTCGAAAACATCGTCCGTGTTTTCAGTTGAATTCTGCTCCAATCTTTCGACTACTTACATCAAAATAATTTGAATGTGTTGTTCTTTAATCAAAGGCATCTACTGTAGAGGGTAGTGCGAAAATACGACAAAAGTGGTACGTATTAGCACTTATAGCAGTCTGGAGACCTAATAGAATACAGAATTTGGCCAAGTGGTTCATCCGCTGATAACGATTTAGCAAGAATGCCCCCATAACTCCCCACTGGTCTCTTAGAATCATTGAAGCTCTTCATGCAGTCCAATTGCGCCATCCGATACTTTAATCACATACCCAAGCTTGAGTTTGTTAGCGTTATGTGCTAGCACATTCATGTTCCTTTTCAGCAGCGCAGTATGCTTTCATTTTAGTTCCAGCTCACTTTGTTCAACTTTTCTCCTATATTTACTCATCAATGTTGTGCGCCCCCCCCCCCCACTCTCGCGTTCAACAAAACAAAGCAATTGATTTATTCCCTTTCATTGTGTGTGAGAACTGTGAATGTGGCCCATTAATCTTTAATGGGGCCTCGCTTCTAGTTTTCTCTGTCAGGCATGTGTGGAGGCAAAGAAACGATGCAGATGTTGTGGACCAAGGGTATATTGAATCGCTACTCACCGGTTCACTTTATTGGGATACAGAATCTAATGAGCTCCAATACGAGAGCTGTATCAAACATTCTGCCATTTATGAAGGCTGTCCAGAGGTCCTTTAGCAGAACGTAATGGTGACAGGTGACTCAATTCACTTCACAATAAGCGTCAGTTTGGCAAATAAAAATGAGTAAATATTCATTAACAGAGAGAATTAAACATGTATTCAAAGCACCCACAGAGCCTCCGCTACCTGAATGCAAAAATACAATGGGAAACAACACAGGCTAACAATTAGCATATATAGGGAGGTGCGGCTACCCTTTAATTAACAGATATTAGAACACAAACAGTGCTGAAACACATGCAGTCTGCATTGCGACATTCATAGGCATAAGATTATGAATATCTAATATATATAATCCTATAATATATATAATCCTGAACAAGGAATCACCAATATTACTGTCGTACTGAGAAGCCAAGAGAGAAGCTGAGCAGAGGGTCAAAAGGCTGCAAATTTGGAAAGGGGAAGGGGGTACTCTAGGTTGGTCAGTAGTTTACTTTTTTCTTCTCTATGTCTATTTATTTATTGTATATCTTGTCTAGATAAATTCATTGCTTGAGAAGTGCAGTGCATGTTTATACAGGTATATCGATATTTCATGAAACAAGATTTGAAGTGATAGACCCACACAGCATTCTTGTTCTGATGTGATTCACGACTCACTGAGTTAATTACGCCACACTTGTTTTGTAAAAGTATATGAAGTTGTCGTTGGCCAACACCTAAAAGACTGCGAGTCAAAGTATACTCCAAGTGATCAACAGGATAAACTTGTCTTTCATTTGAATTCATGGTTAATTTTCATGTATTTTAGCATTTGCCAAACATGTAATACCAAAACATTGGCAAGACAATCTGCTATTATTTATTGGAATATTTTTTTTTGCTTTTGTATATTTGAAAAAAATACACGGTATAAGGACTTTGAAAAAAATAATTGCTTCTCTCTCTCTCTCTCTCTCTCTCTCTCTCTCTCTCTCTCTCTCTCTCTCTCTCTATATATATATATATATATATATCGATATGAGCCTTACTTTTGAGAAAACAATTCGAGGCAGAAGATCTAAACCACGACGTCTGCGTACTGCCTTGCAGTGGCTTTTTTGACATTTTTGTTTTTGTCACGCCACATCCTACCACACACACATTCACACGCACACATGCATTGATCTATCAGTGCCTTGTTTGTTCACACCGCTGCTGCGAGTTCACCCCGGCCAGCCTGCTGCGACTGACGCAGAGGCTCACGGCTTGGCTCCTCCTCCTCCTCCTCCTCCTCTTGCACAGTGCGGTCTCCATGGCAACGCGCAGATGAGAGCAGCTTAGCAACAGCACGGCGAGCATCCAGACTGCTCGGTCCTACAGAGCAGGAGACATCCTCGACAAGAATCCTCTCCGAGTGTCACGTTTACATTTTTCATCTACGTGATATTAAGAGGATTATTTATTCTTTTTAAAATTTTCATTAAGATGAAGTTTATGGTGGTTCTGGTGGGCGCTGGCACGCTGGCCTTCCTCGGCGCCGTCATCTGCATCTTCGCCAGCGTTTATCCCCGTAAACGCGCCGCGGCTCTGTCCGACAACGGCACCCTGACGTCAGAGACGCTCCTCCAGCCTCTGGAGCGGCCCGGTGCGGTGGCTCACGCCGGGCCGCTCGGCGCTCTACATGGCACCGACTCCTATGGCGGAGGAAACGGACTCGGCTTGGGGCTCCCCACGTTGAACGAGCTCGACCTCGGGGAGGAGACCGTACAAGGCTCGGCCAAGGTGTTCAGCTACAGCCGACTCATCTGCACGCCGGTTCCACTCGGGGACTGTAAGGGGAAAGAAGCCGGGCAACAGCCGCTGTCGGACGACCCTCTCGCCGACGAGGAGTGGACGTTCCTCCGCACCACTGCGGAGGAGCTCCGGCAGATGGTTATGCAGCAGAACGACCAGATCCTCATGGACCAGAGGACCATCCGGGAGCTGACGGGCAAACTGAGTGAGTGTGAGAGCGGCCTGGAGGAGGAGGACGGCGGGAGACCCGGACCCGAGCGAAGCATCGGAGTCTGGAGTGGCAACCGGCGGGTCATGGCCGGGGACGACGTCACCTCCTCGGCCGCCTCTCAGCTGCAGACGGCCCGAGCCGTGGAGGAGCTAGCCCGGGCTATCATGGATTTGAAGGACCGAATAGAGAAGTTGGAGGTAAGTGCAGATTGTTATTCTAGACTGTAAACACCCCCCGACAGTTTGCTATCTTAATAGTAGTGTTGGGTGACGGGATTGATAATAATCTGGATTATTTTGATAGATGTTAAAATAACGATTAGTAAACAGAATTATTTACGGAGTTCAAAACTTAAACACAAGGACTTGCTAAAAATCGTGTTTATCCTTCATGTCTGTGTAGATTCTTAGGTCATTCAGATCATGATAATCCGCAAATTTTGAAGCCAGGCAACAGGTCTCTTGTTGAATTTGCTTTGCTTTTTCTTGCTTTCACGAAACATAAAAAAAAAAAAAAAAAGACTGGTAACGATGCTATTGTGCTGACAATTTGTTGAATTGACATATTTTTTTCCCCTCAATACATTTAATATGTCCCAATAAGGAACTACAGTGTATTCAAAATTTTTGGATTATGGGTATAATAAATTTGACAAAACATTAAATTAAAATGAATGCAAAGGTGATCTCACGCTATCCAAAATGTATTCAATTCAGTGTGTTATGGCAGTTTGATGTCGGACACTGCCGTATGATATACCATAGTGTACGTCTACACCACTGCGATTTTTCACATTACATTACATTTTGTTAAATAACTGTTCAAAAAAAGTAGGACTTAATTTACAAAGGCAACATTTTTGTATGGAGTCAAATTAAATTAGGTAATGTAAAGACAGCGCCATGCATCTATAAAGCATTTTTTTTGTAAGGGTGGGTCATGAATAATTGTAGTGGTGCGTCTGTGTGTGTGGTGTATACGGTATATGTCTATGAGTAAATTGCATACACCGCATATTTACATACATATATTTATAAATATGCATAGCTTTATATTTACATATTTATCTCCTGGTGAATGCCCGAGATCAGAAGTGTCGGCCACCCACATCCCTCAACGCAACACGCCCCAGTACTGTGACAACAGCGTTTCTCCCTACCCTCTCTCCACATGCAGGATGGAGAGACATGAATAAAAGATGAAGCTGGCCAGGTTGAGCAAAGAGAGGTCATCTTCTTAACAGCCTGTGTGTTTGTGCGTGTGTGCTGAGATGGAGACAAGGGCAAGCTTCGAAATAAATAACAGTTCCAAGGTTATCCTTCTCACTGTCAAGTTTACATCCCGGACTGACAGTCCTTGCCTCAGCAACTCTTGTTGATATTTGTTTTTCTCGCTCTGTATAACATTGTGTAACAATGACCATATAAAAAACAAAAAAACATTGGGTGGGTTGTGTCACAAAGGGCATCCGGTGTACGAACAATGACAAGCATATCATGCTGCGGTGACCCCTCGATGGGACAAGCTGAAAGTCACACAGGATTCATGTAGCTGATTTGCACTGCTTTCACTAATCACATGGCTGCTGGACTATCGAAAAAAAAATTGACTCGTGTCAGTGTGAAACGCTTTGAGTGCCTTAAAAGGTAGAAAAGCAAAATATGAGTGAAAGACTATTTATGATTACGGCGCAGGCCTCCATGGGTGGATGATCACAGATCAACGCTGCAAAGTAGGCAGCTGGAGACTTGCTGCCACCCTGACCTTTTGTCTCCATCTGTGACTCAGCAGTGCTGTGGCCCAAATAGAATCACGATGATCAAAATAATAATAATGAAATAACCCTTTCAGGGACAATGGTAACTACAGTGGACAGCTTATCAATGTTATCAAGTTAGAGGGTGCATGAAAGCGTTAAATGAACTTTACAATGTCATATTTATGAATGAAATACATCTACCACACATAACGGCAGAGTGCAGAATCCGTCTGTCTGCGCCAACATCAATTCACCAAAATCGCATTACACTACCTGTGCCACAACTTAGACCTGTACTTACTTGGTCTAAAGTTTAATCTACTTTCTGACCCAATTGTCAGGTCCGCCGGAGGCATAAAATAGAAAACGCCTTTCAATGCTGTAACACTGTCTGCCAAATTATCCAACACAGTAAACAACGCCTTTCAATGCTGTAACACTGTCTGCCAAATTCTCCAACACAGTAAACTAGACTTGCCCTGGCACTAAAATGAAGATGTGCCAGTTTACACATGCACCTGTCTACAAATATAGAGCCCTTTAATTCCGCTAAGAAACAGACATGAGCAAAATCATTTTCACATTTTTTTTTCCTGAGTGACAAGGAAATTTCTTTTGAAGTTAGAAAAACTCAGATTGATTTGTCCTCTTCCAGGCAGAGATCGGCCCAGCTGCCCTGAACCTCACCGACACGTCTACAGGAACAAGCAGTAGCAGCGGCCCCCCGGTGGCCACCAAGCCTCCGACTCCAGCCACCGGCAACGCCAACCCTGCGCCCCCGGGCCCGGCAGCGGTAGGCCACGGGGCCCGTCGACCGGGCTCCTCCGCCTCCAAACCCTCAGCCAAAGGGGTCCCCGGTCGCGGGAAGGCTCTCTGGAGGGTGGAGGACCTGGAGGGCGAGCTAGAGAGGAAAATAAAAATGCTGGAGAAGGAGCGGCAGGCCATTCGGAAGGAGACACAGGGCCAGTATGAGAAGATCAACCAGGGCTTGGACACCGCCAACCACCGTGTCAGTGAACTGGAGCACAGTGAGTCAGCGATACGAAATGGCAGCTGAATAGACACTGAACAAAAATGTACATTTATTCATATTATTATATTTGTTCTTGTGCTCATTTTTAATGAGACAAACTACAAAATGCAAGACTTCCTCTATGCACGCAAAACGCTTGTTTTTCTCACTGTTCACATTTAGTGAGCATTTCTCCTTTGCCGAGAGAATTCATCCCCTAAGAGATTAGAAAGCATGCCGTTTATCTACAATAGCAAATTTGGACAACATGGGATATTGTGAAGATGGCCTTTAACTTGATTTCAAATGGAATTTTAAAAAGTCTTGAATTTTACGATCCTTAAGGTTGAGGGACCCTGAGAAAGGAGAGCAGAGCATGCAACTGGGTAGCTGTTGAGTGAATTTAATTAGAAATCCTAAAGCTGGGTTGTTTGTCGGAGGGCCACATTCAGAAAAATCGAAGAAAGCAAGGGCAAATTCGGCGATGAAGCAAAAAGTCAAGGATTTCAGGATTACTCCGTGGCCAGCGGCTCTTCATCCCATTAGAATAGATTGCCCTTGAGCTGCTGCAGTATCAGATCTCCATATTCTTAACAAAAACATGAGTAATCTTTCCCAAGACGATTTTTAAACAAGAGCAGAAAATATATTGTTGAAAAAAAAGCGATTCCAAGGCACATCTTTAAGCGAGGTTGGGAACATGGAAGGGAGAGATGGGAATAAAGTTCTTCTTCGCGGTTCGGTCAAGTTTGGTTGCATCGCTTCAGCGGGCTTTAGCATAAATCTGAATGTGGAATTTTGAAACCTCATTCAAAATGTAATATTTTATGTCCCCCTGAACATCACAAATGTCGACTAACCTTATAGCACCATTTTAAATTCTCACATTCAGTGTTGAATCATCCATTTGTCGCGCTAGCTTCCTGGAGCGAAAGCAGTCATGGCCAACTTTTGTCATGTCAGTTGGTTGAGAGACTAAAAAAAAAAAAAAAAAAAAGAATAGTTGAGTGTGGCTTTTTATGGAGAGCTCATGATACAAATAAACCCAACAACTTTTGATTAGGGCTTGCTTAGGAGTCTTTTTACACTGTTAAGTATCTCCATCCGTCTCATGCCGCTTTTAGATTCTCTCAGCTCTCTAAGAGGCACTGCTGTAGTTGAGAAGCTGATCATTAGTGGAGTTCTTGCTTGAAGAAACAACAACGTTCTTGTGTCAGCATTCACAAGTGTCCCCGTTTTCCACTCTTTTAACTGTTTGTCTATGCCGCTCTTTTGTCCATGTTCTTTTTCTTGAAAGCCCTAACCGAGCCGTCCTTCCCCGACGGCTTCGTGCTGTCCTTCCCCATGCGCACTAACTACATGTATGGCCTGGTGCGGAAGGAGATAACTGAGATGTACGCCTTCACTGCCTGTGTGTGGCTGAAGGCTAAGGAAGGCGGGATCGGCACGCCTTTCTCCTACTCGGTGCCCGGACAGCCCAACGAGCTGGTGTTGCTGCAGGGTGTCCATAACCCTGTGGAGCTGCTCATCAATGATAAGGTAGTAAGCCAGATCCTGATACAGATCAAGCATTACTGTAATGTAAAATGCCTTAAACAAAAGTGTAAATGTTGACTTACATTAGTGCCTTGAGTTGGTATGTGCAGTTTTACAAACCTTTAAGTGACGGATATTTGAACACAAATGGAACAACAAATGTAGAAACAAGATACTGTGTAACAATGCTCACATGCACGCATTCTTTATCCTCTATGAAAAATGATTGATATTACAGTACAGCAGGCCTCCGTTATTTGCGAGGGATAGGGACTGGGCTGGCCCATGTGTAGCGAAAATCACGTGTAATTGACACCTATGGGAAAAAAAATTCTACCCCCCCCCCAAATATCATTGGTCACCATTCAATATGAGGAAATTAAAAAAAAAAATCATTAAAATGCCCAAATATTTGTAAAAATTGGGATGAAAAAAAAAAACAAACAAATCCGCAGATGCGGAACTGCGGGTATGTGGGGGTCGACTGTAACTTACTGAAAGTAGTCAGTCTATTTTTATTTGTGTTTGCATGACTGTATTATACAGTACTACTTCCAGTTGAATGGCAGCTAGACAGTTAGCTAGCATGAGAAACTAGCTTAGCAGCCGACATCATCACTCAGTGCATTACAAATGCACGACACCCGTCAAATATGATTCAAATCAAAATCCTTTAAAAAAAAAAAAAAAAAAAAAAAGATAGTCAATACAGGTTTCGGCTCAGAATCTACCTTTTTGAACAAACACATAGTAGCTCGTTAGTTGGCTAACGTGAGAAGCTAATGTAGCCATCTTTGTGTTCACTCAGTGCCTTCTAGGAAAACAGCACACTAATATACGTACAAGAACAATCAAATTAAGTAAGTTGTTGACAAAAAAAAAAAAGTAAACCCTTTAGAACCATATGAAGCCAACAGGAAGGGAAATAAAAATAGTAAAATCTATTTGTGGCATATTTGTAACCCATATTTTGTGAGACTCCCAGCATTTCGAGACATAAAAAAGGCTTCATTGAGCTAACTCATCTTCACCCTCGCTCTCAGGTGGCACAGTTGCCGCTGTCGCTCCCTCAGGATGAATGGCAGCACATCTGCGTCAGCTGGACCCTGAGGGACGGTGTGTGGAAGGCCTACCAGGGTGGCAAGATGAAAGGTCGGGGGGAAGGACTGGCCGCTTGGCACCCCATCAAACCTGGTGGGGTGCTCATCCTGGGCCAGGAGCAGGTAAGGAAATGAGGGAGGACAGATTTTTTTGCAATGTACAGATTCATGGCTTCTGGAGACTGTTTAAGTTATTTTTTTGGTGTTGGTCATGCATGTTCCGTTCCAAAGTAAAATAATCAATAACCTCTGTACACATTGTGGAAAACAAACCCTCAAAGTTCTCATTTGTTTCATTCAAGCCTTCTGTACTCACACGCTATCTGTAGCTGCATACGTTCGATGAGAGATGAGGAGTGAAAACAGGACGCCGGTTTTGCACCTCGCACATTCTTCTGGGTGGTTGTTATAAAGGACATCTTGCAGGCGGGGAACTGTGAATGAAATGGATAACAGCCCAAGACATCCTCGTGTTATTCATGGAAACGCGTGACGACATAATCATTATAATGCTAAAGCGTATTCATTTCAAAACATAGAATCTCCTTGTGGCAAAGGCGGGCACACCTGCAAGAGCAGCACAATATTGGAATGCAGCATTAAATCGAGATATGCAATCGGTTGATCGGGACCACTGATGTAAACCTCAGCGGGATCAGTCGTTGTTTGAGGGGCGTCATCAGAGTAACATTTGAGGGCATGCTAATGTTAGCTTCCTTTCTCGTTGCATTACTATACAATATTCCTTCACTTTTCACGGGTCATACCTTCCATGATAGTTGACCTCTTTCTTTTTTACGCTCACATTAATTTTTGAATTAGTCTATAATCAGCAGCTCATGCTTTAAATGTTTCCTTTTCCTGTACCACCTGACGCACTGTGCTCCAGTACTCGTTTTTTTGGGCACTTTGAATCACCGCACAGCACATTTGAACAATGTGCTGAGTTCCCGAACGTTCTGAGTGAACGCACCTACGATAAGGGAACAGGGATTTTTGAACGCACCTACGATAAGGGAACAGGGATTTTTGTGTCGATGAGCTTTAATGTTGATGGTCTCAGTTTTTGTAAAATAAAATTTCCCTAAAAAAAAACAAACAAAAAAAAAAAAAAAACATTTTTTGGACTGGTCCGACCAGAACTACAGAAGCCTCCAAAAAAAATTAAACAAAATTCAATTCTCACCCACCCCCTCCCGGCTTTTTTTTTTTTTTTTTTTTTTAATGTTACCTTCCCCTTATTTCTGCTAATTATCCTGAAGCGCACCTCTCTTTCCCCAACCAAAAGGACACCCTTGGCGGACGCTTCGACGCCTCCCAAGCGCTGGTTGGTGAACTCTCCCAGTTCAACTTGTGGGACCGGGTGTTGAAGCCCGCTGAAGTCGCCGCCCTGGCGGAATGCAACTCCTCGGTACTCGGCAACATCGCCCCCTGGACCGATCTGGACGTGGACGTCTATGGCGGAGCCACTAAGGAGTCCTTAGACCCGTGCCACGCTGCTGAAAGATCCAACCCCTCCAGCCCCAAACAGTGAGGGGACAAGGGGGCTGTGAGAGCTCACATAAGGTCAATGTAGTCGAGGGGTAAAATAAATTACTTCGGAATGTAAAGCATTTGTTTGGAGCCAGAGAGCTGACGGGACGGCGCTCATTGGACGTTTGGAGCTCGTCTGTTTTTCATGTCTGGTGTGTTTAGTTCAAAAGTGAGGTTAAGTTACTGCCTTAGTCAGGCAATCAAAACACAAGCTTGTAGATGAGATGGACTATCAGTGCTAATTTGAGGTCAATCATTTCTGTGAACAGAAAAACAGTATCAGACTCTTCGGGTCTTACGGTTTTAATGCAGGTATAGTCACTGATGATGAAAACCTTCGTTGTCACCTCATGTCATTGCTTGTGTTTAGATGCTGAAACTGAGACGCGTGTTAACGTTCTCGACGGGAAAACGTAACGTCATGTTCAAGTGTACATGGTCCGGCATATTTGTAGATTTTATACAGTAAAGTTCCTCCCACCATTCGCTTACAACAGTGATCTTATACTGTAAATGTGTAATTTATTGTGTGATAATGTAGCCTTGCTAATGTTGCTCACCCCCCCACAGCCCCAACGCATTGTAGCCTAACACAATTTGCAGACAGTCGCAAGCACATAAACCAGCACGGTAAACTCAAGAAAAATAAATTTTAATTTGACTAAATTTGATGTTTTTTTTTTTTTTTGCATGAAATTTTGACCGAACACTGCATCAACGGCAGTTCGGCCTCTCAAACGTCTTTTTTGGGTGAATTGGCATTCACAAAATATAAATTTAAAAAGAAATAAGACATCAAGAAATTTAATTACAAAAAATAAAATAGTACTTCATGGCCAAGTCCAGTGTGACCTTCAGACACACATTTAAACTATTTCTCACAAATAATAATGCCGTTAAATTGCTATGATTCCGTTGCATGGTGCGTTTCTCTGTTTCATTACTATTCAGTAATAAAGTGACAAAAAAAAAGCTCATGTATAGCTTCCCTTCTTTTGGAGGGATTGTAGCTGGTATAATTCATTTAAAATGTTCTTGTATTAGCATCAAAAGGCCATTATTGGTTGCAAGGCGGCTGCTATTTTGTTGCTACAATGGACACTTTTGACTGTTGTCAATGGCAATGGTCAAAAGGGCGACGCAAGGAATTCAGCGTTTTATGAGAGGGGCTTTAATTCTTACTATACAAAAACATCTAACACTGTGCAGTCAAGTGTACTTTGCTTCAAACCCTTTGTTACCGCAGTGCACGAGTACGAAGGAGTATTACAGCCACACTGAAAAGAAAAAAAAAAAAAGAAACATGAAAAAAAAATGTACCCACTAAAATCACAAGTCTTAATTTGACAAGAGGTAAAATATCATGAGAATAAAGTTGTAGATCTATATGAATAGCTAAGAACCTTTTTTTCGACTACATCAAATCTTATGAGTTTTAAAAAAAATTGTACATATGAGAATAAAGACTTGACGTTACAAAAATACAGTCGTGATATTACCAGAACAAATTCACTAAATTATATCATATCACCAAAATAAAATGACAGTAACATGAGAACAGTCGTAATATTACAAGAAATAAACAAATCATTTTACCAAATAAAGTTTTGATACTGCCAGTAAAGATTTCAAGTACCATGAGAATTAAATTGTATTTTTATGTGACGAATATCTCAAAATGAGAGTACAGTTGTAATCTTACAATAGGTACATTTATAAGGATAAATTCCAATAGCACATAAAAAGTTGACAGTTGTAAATTGAATAAATTTGTTCAAGCAAAAGAAAAAAAATGGAATTGAGAAGAATAACGTGGCATTGGGCTTCATGTCATCATGTTACGACACACACTCGGGTCGAATTCAAATCTGATTCGCAAAATTGGTTCTTGCAATATTCCAAATGTGTGACTTTCTTTTTCTGTAATCTGATATTTGCTTTGTCTCTTCAGTGTGGCCCTCACCCTCCTCCGTAACATGATAGGCCCCACTCCCACCATCCAATATTTCTTTTGTAAGTGCCTATTTGGGCCTCAAAAGGCCCACAGTGGTAGTCGATCACTTTCCTCTTTTGTCTTCTCTCTTGCTTTACATTGTCCAAGGCCGTATCCCGTCTTTGTCCTCCTCTGCACCTTTACGCACTTGATATTGTGAACTCGGTGGATGCGACTTAATAAACTGCATTTTGATGGCATCGTCTGAGGTTCGCTGTGTTGGCGTTGTCACCGCAACGGGTTCGCTGATGCACGGGTCTGATTCACTCATCTGCCCACGTGTGACATTTCTAGCGTGATCTGATAAGTAGCGTTACACTCTCCTTGGCCTCGCTGAAATGGATTTCATGGAACAGCAAACCCGGGTGGAGGTCAAATTCTGAAACTCATCTGACATCCCCCAGCAATAAAAAAGCACTTTGTCACTTTTCATCCCAGTTTAGCTGTTGCGTCACGGCTCTGACAGATGGACAAACAGGCACGAGCACAAACACAATCTCGGAGATAATTATCACCATAAATACAGATGCAGGCGGGAGCGTGGCGACTCCTTAGTCATTAAGTGTTGGAGGGGAGCGGTAACACAATGCTCATTGCATTAATTAAATGTGTTCTGCATTGCAAATTTTGCTACACTTGTCTTTCTCTAGGATAAAACCGCTTAAAGCACCTCGTGGAAAATACTGTCCAAGTCAGTTGAGGGGAGAAACTATACCGTCTGTGTTTCCCCAGTTACGGATTTACAAATTCTAAGACCTTGGAGCGCTCAACATTAGTTCTGAAAGACTCAAGGAGTGTCAATTCAATTTCTGTTCACGTGGCGAGTCAAGGCTCTTCCGAGTCCATTGATGAACTTTGAATTTGAATTTTGAAGTTCTGACGGGGCTCTCGGCGATTGAGGTGTAGCTCAGACGCCTTATGGTAATTTATTAGTTATCAAATATTTTGCAGACAACACCTCGGGGCTTATTTGATACGAGCTGAAATTTCTCATTTTAGAGAAACAGAGATGCAAAAAGATTGGCTGCCATGACAACGTCAGATGCATATTGGGAGTCAGCTGCATTCCATTCATTCATTTTATATGCGGTTTGTTCTTTATTAGGCTTGCGTAAATGGAAATTGTTCCAGCTGCATTACAACCTGGACTTGCGCTTGTCAATCACAAGGCACATAGAGTCTTGAATTAACCTAACATGCATATGTTGAAGTTTTGGAAAACAGGGTAGAGTAAAATTAAATATGAGGACAACACTCACTCCACGCAAAGATTTTCCGACAGCAATTCGGACCTGGCTCTCCTGACTATGAGGCAGATGTAGTTACTACTATCCCATGAATTTCTATCCAAACCGATTTTGAACTAATCACACAAACAGAGTTAAGAGTACAGTACAATATCCACACTGTTGCTTAATTAAAATGGACCAACTCCTCCCACATGGTATGTGCCAGCACTAGCCAAAACAGTATTCTGGTTAATATTCACCATTTCTCAATTTGCGTTCTTGTCCTTCCGGCTCTGACATACTTCCATAAAATGTTAATAGGGAGAGATAAAAAAAAAAAAACAATCTTACAAACATGATTTCTCTCCTCAGTAATTTTGATAGCAGCACAAGAAAGCAGCCAATGCACACTTGGTTTAAGCTAGCAGACAAACTACATTCGGCGTGTTCTTGGTTTATGCGTATTTTAATTTTGACTTAGGCCGTGACGGATGACGTTTCACGAGATCACAAGGATGTTAGAATGGATAACAACGCGGATTGAGAAATAACTCCCGTGCATGCTGCCCGAATGTGCGGCAGACGTGCTACCTCATGTTGTTCGTCATTAGCACAATATCGTCTCATGAGTCACTGCGATTCCCAGCCCCATTATCAAGCCATCGGTCGATATATCTCGAGTCTTGGAGTCATCCAGTCACTAATTGTCACACGGGGTCTTGAATTCACCCCTGCTCTCTCCCCCCATTCTGCTAACAATCTGCATCCGCTGCTGATGAATTATAGATGCTCACTAATTGGCTTTCCTGCAGGCAGACACACTTCACACAAACCTTTGTTTGACCTTTCCGTCTTCGCGCTGCCTTCACAAACACACACATTATACATAGAGTTTTTCAACATCTTTGTTTTGCCCTACAGCGATTCCTCCCACTCGGGTTCTTCTATATAAGTCATTGATGAAATGTTAAGAGTTCTTCTGTCGCCATGAAAACGTTTAAGAGAAGCTCACATCCTCCCGCAGGCAGTTTCGTCGCAAGTCATATACATTCCTTCTCCTTTGATCCACATTCTTACCTTCATACAATTTCTACAGTCTACATTTTTATAGCGGGACTGCATCAGGTCCGAGCATCATTTGAACGATCGCACCACACATTAAACATGCAGTTTTGAGTTATTCATTTTCATCGAAACGTATTTCAGAGAGGTTATATACATTAAGCCTAGAAATATATCGGATTGTTTTGACCACTCTTCTGAGGCAAAATTGGGAGAGTAGTGGTGAGCACGTCTGCCTCATCGTCAAAAGTTCTGGGTTTGCTCTTCTCCGGTGAGGAGTTTGCATGTTGATACAGCATGATGGATATCATTGGAGTTGTACCCAATGGAATATCCTATTCAGAATTTCATAGTACAAGGCAGACCTGTACTTCTTGACTGCTGTCATTAAACTGGGTCATTTGGATTTATGTCATAAAACTGCGTGATTACATAATCTAGTGCCACACAATTAGTTCATACCACACGTTGATTACCTACTTACTCATAGCCCACACACTGTGAGAGGTTCATCAATATTAGAGTTGACCTGTTGAAAGCACCAGTTTGCATGACTGCGTCCGCAGTCAGAGAGCCTACATGAGCTCAAACAAGAAATGAGAAATATCATTATTATGCTATGTTTGCTTGCCTGTCCACGGATTCATAATCTAATCCACTCTAATCCATGGAGGAGGGAGTACTTCTTTTATATTTAAAATGAATCCACAAGCACAAACAAGACTGGGAATTTTCCGCAGCAATTTTGGGTCAGGAAAATCCACCTGGGGGACTCCATCCAGATGTTTCCTGCTCAATGTCGGTCACATTCAGTAAGAGGGCATTTTAAATAGGGTATACATACGCGCGCGCACGCACGCACGCACGCGCGCACACACACACACACACACACACACACACACACACACACACACACACACACACACACACACACACACACACACACAAACCACCAAAAAAATGACCGGGGTTTTCTTTAGTTCATATCCTGATGATACGCCTCCTGAACACGACAGCAGCGACTCGAACAGGTAACACTCGCGAAACAAATAACTATTATGAATGGTTTTAAACACACCTCTTGTGTCAAGTCAAGTTAAAGTCAAGTCAACTTTATTGTCAAATATGCTCTATGTACAACACACAGCACAGATGAAACTCAAGCACAATAAATACATTTTGCAGTGGAACATTTATTCAGAAAAAAATGCAGCCGTATTCTGGGGGTGAAATTGCGTCGTTTCGTTTCTTACATGTATTTTATGTTCATTTATCGTCAGATGTACACAAGTAGTAAAAAAAATACAAATCAATTTACCCAATTAATATACAATTCAAAGTTCATTGACAGGACCAAAAGCCAATAGAAACGCTCTGTATCATTCGTAGGCGGGGCCTCTTCTGTCGGCGTAAGTCACGTTGAAAATGTCTCCCTAACAACCGACCCTAGGACTCAAACTGTGGAACTTTTCCAGCGGTTCACACGCCTCATTCGTAAGTCACCCAACATTTCTTTTTGACTCGTCCTTAACAAACGCTGACGAGTCAACAACGGGCGTTTGGTGAAAGAGAATTTATTAAATGTTATATATTCGCCACGGAACTGCAAGCTAAGCTAACTGGGTAGCTGGTAAACGCTGCTTCTTCGGTCTCACTTTATCCGCCTACTTGTTGTTTACAAGCCTGCCACAATGCCTCACAAGTGTCCTTTGTTTTTCTTAACATACAAACTTGCTATTTGTGTGGAAAATGACATGTAAGTCTGGCAAATATATGCTTCGTTATGTCGTTAGCTTGCTAGGTTTGGTAGATTTCTTCTGGTGTGTTCTTGCTCGTGCTGCTAGGTACGAACAAACGAAGTGTCCCCTTTTTAGGTCCAATTTATTACTCTTTATATCTATGAACAGGAGTCGGAATGGCAGGAACCGGCGAGGGAAAGAAAGAAGAGGCCGACTACAAGAGACTACACAGCTTCCCTCTCATCAGGGTACATGTAATAGAGTGGTCATATCGTTCATGATGTTCTGTGAACTCGATCTGCAGTCATGTTAGGAGAGTGCAATGGTAAAAAATACTGTTTGGAGACTGACAAAACAAACCGCCGATTATAAAGACAATCGTCACGAGGTAATGTACCTAAAAGTCAGTGAACGCCTGTAACTTAAGTGCACAATTTATTAATTAAAAGGTACAGGTATAGTGACGAGGATGGATGGATAGGACCCCCGAGACTCCCTGTATTTTGTTTGAGTTTTTTTTAAAAGGTGAGTTATGTAATTTAAACCACTTTGTCCTGCTTTTGTAAGCAGTTACAACTCTGACAGATGTTTAATATTTGTTTATCATCAACCGAAACGTGTCAAGAATCATTGACACGTTTTTATCTAAATTGATGAGAACAGTAATCAACACTTATTATCGTTTACCATTTAAACTCCTTTTATATTTACAACTTGGGGATGAAGAATCAGTTTTGCTCAGTGTAGGCACATGCTAAAATGCTAGCTGCTCAAGGGAAGTAACACAAAGGCTGCTAATGCCGTTTTTTAAATACTAGGCGTTCAAGGGAAGTCGCACAAAGGCTGCTCACACCTTTTTTAAAAACATCTAATGCTGTATATTTTTGATTCAAGAAATGCCAAGTTAAAACTGAAATGCATATTTGTGTTTGAAATTCCTCCACTGTGATCTACAGTGAATTGATACCTCGTCAAGAATGAACGTATCCATTTGTCAGTTTTACTCGTCAAGAATGAACGTATCCATTTGTCAGTTTTAAATAGTTTTTTTTTTCTTTAGTTTGCCCACCCATGCGTTAAATAGGTCTGAATTTCTCACCCAAAGTCAGCTGGGATACACCTCAACTGCCCATGGCCTTCAGAAAAATAAGCCAGTATAGGAGATTGATG